CTATGAAGGCACACATGATTTTCATAACAGAAGACAGCTGATATATAACAAGCCAAGTAACACCAAAAACTCCTTGGGATTTGGCTTCCTCTGGAGGAATTCCATGATCCTTCCAGGTAGTGACTTTGCCATAACCAGCTGAGTTCTTATGATATATTCCTGCAGCCCGCAACAGAGAGAGAGAGAGAGAGAGAGAGAGAGAGAGAGAGAGAGAGAGAGAGAGAGAACGTGCCTCTCAGGTGCTGGGAGCCAACACTGAGTTAGAATCTTGTCTTTGCCGATACTGACTGTGTGACTTGGGCAAATGAGTAGCAATTTCTTTCACCATCTGCAAAAACATGGCTCCTGGATCTGTCTAATGAAACTGGAGGACATCTGCAAAACGGTCAGTCCAGGGCCTGACATAGAGCACCAGTAATAGATTGTGATGCAAAGCTTTGTCTTCTGATTCCTTGAAGCAACCTCCAGAAAGAGAGTTGATTTGGGGGTTCAGGGGCGTGAAGAGCCACAAAGCCGCTACAGTTCTCCAAAACTGAAAGGAAAAATTCAAGCAGCACCACAGATGCTCCTATCTGTCTCTAAATTCAGGCTCTTCTTCTGTTGGGCAGTTTTTAAACACAGTGGTTCCAGTGCTTACACCAGTTCCCTTATGTCACGTCACCGACGTTTCCCTCTAAGGCTAAGGCTGTCTCAGTGTGGAATATCTGAACCATGTACATCTTCATTCATTCATTCATTCTTAAGTTACTCTCTGTCAGGTGCTGGACTAGGCCCTGGGTCACTGTGGCCCACAGGAGCAGAGCATTCCTCACTTCTGGCCCCTAGACTGGCAACATAGTCATGGAACAGACAAGCAAAACTCCCGCCTTGGAGTTGTGAGGCAGTCTGTCACCCTGACCTGCTCTTTGCCCAGCACCCACAGTGGATGCTTCTCTTGAGGGCACCTCCTACAGGGTTGGAATATCCACTAACATATTCTGGGGGCTTTCCTGAGAAGTCAGAGGGATCTCCTGCGGTGTCCAAAGCCCCTGACAGCGAAGCTGCCCTTGTGCCCTGCTCCTCCTTCTCCGAGGCTTGGGTTTCATCTGGTTCGGTCAGCTTCCCCCTCCCAAAGGCCGATGCTCTCCGCTTGCGTTCACAGAATCTTTCCCTCATCTCTTCTCTCAGCGAGGCCCTCCACTGGGCCTGGAGCATCTGAAGCAGGGAGCGGGAATATCCTCTGTGACTGTGGCTCAGTGCACAGACCACTTGGTCCCTTCTCCACTGACCCTGGCCATGGCCTCTGCAGTGGCCACCCTGTCTAACTTTCCGCCTGCCCCATTCTCAAGATTCAGCTTATAGTTATGTCTGATGCAAAGCCTGGCTGTTAACTTTCAGGAAACTTGCCATCCGAGTCACGACACCAATGATGGTTTTGAGCAGCGCTCTTACCCCGCCAGGAAAAGTCATGAAACATGACAGAATCCACTAACAAGAGTTTCATTAAGACAAGGAGGAAGGGATGGATGCGATCAGCCCTGCTGAAGGGACACGTGTGGGAGAAGGGGGTGGGGGACACGAGGCCTGTCATTTTAAGGGCCAGCTCGCACCTGCGCACACAGGCCCATGTGGCTACTCCACCCATGCTCAGATCATGTGGTTACATGTGCTTACATGACCACGCAGTGCATGGGGCATGGGTTACACAGGAAGTGTGACCCGGAAATGACTAGGCGGAAATGACTAAGTGTCCCACCAGGGCATGTGCAACCATGGGGGCGTGGTTGGAATTCCTGTCACCAGGAACTCCTGAGTAGTTCTTTTTTACTTTGTTTCCTCACTTGGCACCTAATCATGTGGCCTTTTGATTTTCTCTCTTCTGTTATTATTTCACCTGAAGAGGGCTGCTTTAGATTGGGAGACTGGAGGCATCTCAGCAGAGGTTTCATTTACACTGAAAGCTGAAGAAGTGGGCAGTCTAGAGCGAGATTGTTTTGGGCAGAAGGAAGGGCATGTGTAAAGGCCCTGGGGCAGAAGAGATCATGGATGCACAACTGGAGCAGTTATCCCTGGGTGGGCTGATCTTTCCAGATTTGGTGAGTTGTAAACAATTTGTTACTGAATTCACACTGCTTTTTGCAGACCACTATGTTCTGACCTCTTCTAGAGAGAAGTCAGTCTGAATTTGTCCTTGCCTAGACTGATGGACGGGGCTGAGATGATTTTTCTATGATGTGACCGTCAGACTGTGGAGGAGGGTATCATGAATGCCATCAGTACAGTAGAGAGCAACTACTTCTTCCTGAGGGCACTGAGAAAAGCTGCTCAAAAAGACAGCACCTGGGATGAGCGAGCTCTCCTGGCAGAGACACAAAGGAAGGGTTACCAGGCAGAGGGGACAGAAGCCAAGAGAGAGGCTGTGATTCCAGAAATGGGGATCCGAGAGTCTCCAGACAATTGGCATGCTTGAAATTTATCTAGAGATGTTGGAGAACTGCGGGAGCTTTCTAAGCAGGAAGGGAGCAGGTCTGGCTACAGCGTGAATGGATGGGAGTATAATAGACCAGAGGCGGGGACAGCCATGGGGAGGTGCGGCTACCGCTCAGACCAGAGGCGGGGCTGACTGGAGCAGTGGTAACAGCCAAGATGAACAATCGATACCTTAATGTGAAAGCCACAGGACTTTAGGGTTGGACTGGCTTTAAGAAAGGGGGATCTGTTAAGCCTTGGCAATTTTCAAACATTAATGAGTGAGGGGAGACACCAGGAGGGACAGGATTTAGGGGTGTAGAAGGAGAGAGAATGGCTGGGCCGTGAAGGCCTCTTTCGGCACCATGGACAGCTCCAGGTATCGCCAAAGCCCCAGCAAGGCTCCATTCAGCACTGTCTCTTGACACTGGCTGCCTTAGTTAGAGTCAGCAGAGGAGGAAGTTTTAACAGTCACACCTGCAGGCTCAACCAGATGTTCTGTGTCAGTCTCTGCAAGAGGGTTTCGGGATCCTGCCTCATAAATGAGCCTCATAAATGAGCGCCCCAAGTCCCTCAGTACAGATACTTGAAGATAAGCACCCAATGGCCGCTGCAAAGGAGGCCTGGTGCTCGTGAACCAAGGGTGGTCGTTGAGGCAACTTATTTACCTGCTGAAATTGCTGGCCAAGGAAACTAGATTTTCAGAGAAATGGGAGAAGGGGCCACCTTCCTCTAGGACCCTTAAAACTAAATGAGGCAGAATTCACCCACGTGCAGTCACTGCCACTAGTCAATCTAGGCTGCTGTTACAACTTTCTAACTCCATTTCCTAAAAGCTCAAGTCAACCCAAATGCAGCTCCCTCAGGTACAAGAAGAGAGCCCCTTCTAGACTGGCTTTACAATTTTGTGACAACCTTAGCTGGGCATAGTGATGCATGCCTTTGATCCCAGCACTCAGGAGGCAGAGGCAGCCAGATCTCCGTGAGACTGAGGCCAGATAGTCTACCCAGTGAGTTCCAGGACAGCCAGGGCTACATAAAGAGACCATCTCAACAACAACAACAGAATTATGGCAGTCACGAACAAGTGGAAAATAGCTGTGTGTGCACACATAGCATTTGTAAGCTTTAAGAGAGAATGAAACTCTGACACCTGCTATGATGTGACCTTGAGAGCCAAATACGACTAACACGAGAGGCACACCAGTAGTTAGCCATCAAGGGGAGAGTAGAACTGGGTAGCCAGGGCTGGGGGCAGAGTGGGTATCCCAGGAGTTAGTTCATGGGTATGCTTTCAACATGGAAAGTTCTGGAGATCAACGGTAGTGATGGTGTGCATGACAATATGAATGTACTGAGTGCCAATGGACCGTGTATTAAAAATAGTTAAAATGAAGGTTGGAGAGCTGGCTGCCTTTCCAGAGGATCTGAGTTCAGTTAGCACCAATGGCAACTCACCTGTAACTCCGGTTTCAGAGAAACTGATGCCCTCTTCTGGCTCCTGGGACAGCAGGGGCACCTGTGGTACACATACACACGCACCGGCAAACACTTATACACATAAAATAATAAAGTTAAAATGGTAAATTTTGGTTTTTTTTTTTTTTTTCTATAAAAGTTGGTGCCCCCTACACACCTGGGAATCTGTACGGCTTCTCTATTTGTGGGAGAAACCTGAAAACCAACAAAGGTGGTCTTGTGCCTCAGTCTGAGGCTCGCAGGAAAGGAATGAGTGGGTGGATGTGGGCTTGGAGTTACCCCAGTGTGTGTAGGGCTGGGGAAACTGAGTCTCGTGTTTGCAAAAGATGTCGCTCCTCACAAGTCCTTCCCCTTCCAGGCTCGGGAGCAGGACAGGAAGGCGCTCAACACCTTTTACCCTCAGCCTCACTGTCAGCCACTCCTGGGCAGCTTCTGGGCGCTCCCCAGCGTCGGTGGGTGTTAGGGCCTTGGCGGCTCGCTGCCCTCTTCCAAGATGGCCGCCGCCGCCTCTGTGACAGGCCTGGTCACGTGGCGCGCTCGCTTGTGAGGTCGCGGTGCCCCGGCAGGCGATTGTCCCTTCCCGGGCCCCGTCCCGAGGCGGCGACTATCCCTGTCAACCGGAGCCTGAGCGATCATGGCAACGGGCT